TCCCAAGAAATTCTGTCTTGCAGCATAATAATTTCTTCCTTATAATATTTTGTAGGGCTTTTTTATATCCTTGTTCCTGAGAGTAAAGACCAGAAGGATTTAATATAATGGAAATCATATTGTTAACAAGAGCAACAATGCTGAACCTGTTTAATTAATAATTACTTATTCTCTTCTTCTGAGAAATTGAGATGATCATTTGATTTCCATTCTACTCAGAACTGAAACACTGAATCAAGCAACACTGGATAAATTGAACTGAATAAGTTCAACTGAATTTGCACTAACAGATTAGCTATTATTATTATATTAGCTAATGGCTTTTGATACCATTGACCATGGGATTCTCCTGGGGTGGCTTTGGGGGATGGGAGTGGTTCTTGGTTCATTTCCTTCATCTGCAGCAGCTCTCAGTCAGTGTTTATAGGAGGGGAGAGATCCAGCCTTTACCCTTTACAGGGTTCTGTAGGGCTCAGTATTCTCTCCGCTCCTGTTCAACATTTATATGAAGCCACTGGGTGAGATCATCCATCACCATGGACTGAGGTATTACCAATATGCTGATGATACTCGGCTGTATGTCTCAGTCACGGTGAGTTAAGTGTTGCTGTGTCCTCCCTTTCACAATGCCTGGAGGCTATTAGGGGCTGGATGGAGAGCAATGGGTTAAAACTTAACCCCTGCAAGACTGAGTGGCTCTGGGTTTGGGGATCATTGGCTCAAGGAGTATTGCCACCTTTGGATGGGGTAGCACTACCTCAAACAGACTCTGTGTGTAATCTAGGGGTTTTCCTGGACTCACAACTCCTGCTCGAAGAGCAGGTGGTGGTCATGGCCAAGAGGGCCTTTGCACAACTGTGGGTTGTGCACCAGTTACACCCTTTCCTGGACCAACGGTCCCTATTCACAGTCACTCCTGCGCTAGTCACTTCCTGTCTTGATTATTGCAATGCACTCTACATGGGCTGCCCTTGAAGAGCACCTGGAAGCTGCAGTTGGTGCAAAATGCAGTAGCCTGCATGGTTTTGTGCAGACCATTTCAAAACGTGTTAGTAAGCATTCTTCTATTGAGTGCATGAATGATTCTATGCTTTCAACTCTGTCAGACAGGGTACTTAGTTTGTTTAGCTTAGGTAAACATGATGGACATAAACAGGGAAATGTATCTGATGTTTTTTAGGAGATCAGTTAGGCTATTGGTTAAGTTTAAACAGATGAGGTGGGCTTGATTGTCACATAGGTGGCATTTAATGTTAGTTTTGCTTTCATTGATGGTTTCAAAACATGTGAAGCATTTGCAGGAGACTGGGAGACCATTAGTAGAGATATTATTCTTTTGTTGATGTTTGGTTGTGGAGGGTTTGGAGTTTTTGGCTGGCAGGGTCAATGACAATAGTACACTAAACAATTACAATAGATAAATTAATATGACAGGTAGACAGTTACTTAATGAATGTTGGTAATTAATATATGTTAATTGATAAGTTAACTCATCTAAATAATGGAGGAAATGGTATGTTGTGATAATATGGACCAAAAAGAATTGTGGTAATTTAAAATAATATACACCATAAGTTCTTAGAAAAAAAGACTCAAAGAGCAGATTCTGCATTTTCCAAAACTTTCTTATTTTCTGAGTTGCTAAGCTGTTGCAACAGAATATACCTCTGTCATTTGAAAATAAAATCATATTGGTTGATTTTTAGACTGAAACTTCAAGAAATCATTGTTGATTCTGATAAACATTATTCAAGATATTCATGAAGATATCTTACTGTAGATTCTTTTCCAAAAAAAGATTATTAATTGAACTGCTTGGTCAGTATAAAACCCACTGAGAAGCTATGATATATTTTCCAAAACCATTTTTTTTCATCATTTGCTGCCCTCTTCTAGATATTATGTCTCTATTTATATAGTAAGATTCATCATTCAAAGCCTTCCAGCCAGACATTGTTTTATATATCTTAACTTAAAGTCAGATGCAAGGCACTTCTAACTTCCACAATCTTTCTTTCTTTCCAGGGTCTCCATAGAATATGGTGGGCAAAAAATGAAGGTAGTAGCTAGTGCAACTAAACCCCCATTCAGTTTTATGTGCATTGAAATTGGCTAAAAAAGAATATGTGGAACTTAGTACATCCTTCATGGCTGCCATCTTGACTTATTTGACTACAACCTGCATACATGCCTGCTTCTATCACCAATATAAGGAAGGACTCTCTTTGTCTACCAACATTGCCTGAAACTGGCTACAGAGAAAGGAGAAGAACCACCAAAACCGTGCTGCCCATTCCTAATTCCTGGAGTTGGATGCTATGGTCAATGATACTAAAAATTGCAGAGGACAGTTGCACCACCAATATCCTGCAACCTCAGAAAGTAATCAGCAAATGTAATCAATGCTGTATCAGTGCTTTACCCCAGCCAGAATCCAGTCTGAAAAGAATTGATTTATCCTGCTTAATCCAATGTCCCTGAAACTGTGTGCAAACCAACCTCTCAACAAACTCTCCCCAACAGACTGGATAAAATTTGTCTAACATGATGGTCCAAGGATGGCTTCTTGAAAAAAGGATACACTGCTACTTCTCTTAAGCAGGCATTATCATTTTTTCTTGCAAGCAGTTAACTATTTGGACTCAACCACATGTGACCTCCCAGGCAGCCTTAATCAACCAGGAAGGATATCAGTCCATCCAAAACACAGATGGGCAAGTTAACAGACACAAGACCCTGTCCACTTTTTCAATTATATTGAAAATATATACCGAAAGGCAAACTGATATAGAAAGGCAATGCATTTTAGTGTTTTAGTCTAGAAAACTTGCAGATTGCCAGAAATAAGTTTCTGCCCATATCCTGAATTTGCAATGTGGAAAACTATAATTAATATGAAAGGATTGATTCAGGCCTCCCAAATCCTCAGTCTCTGTCAAAGATCTATCTCTCTTTGTATGGGTGTGCACACGCACACACACTTGTGTGTGTGGGTACTTCAAGGTATATAGAGACATACCAATTGTACCTTGTTTTCTTTCATGAAGTAAATGATGTTGAAATTGCTTTGAGCCTAATCTCTATTCCCAAAAGAGTAATAACAGCTCTACTTTCTGCTATCTCTAATGTCAATATTTTTCTTCAAAGCTTTTCCTTTCTTGCATATTTGGAGATAAAGAATCTTTATTAACACCCCAAAGAAGAGTCTTGTTTGTGTGTGTGTGTGCGTTTGTGCGTGCCTGTGCATGCCCTTAAAGAATTATTTCCCTGAGGTGATGTCCAAGGCTTGATAATCGTGGTCTTTGTGTTTCTTTAATCAGAAATATAGGATCCCAAGGAAGCCCCACCTCATTTTCTTTATAGCTCTGGATGCTTAAATGAAAGGTACTGTTTCAAATAAGTTGCAATTTCTTATTGGCCTTTTGAGAGGAAATGAAACAAGGTTGATCTTAGTTTATTATTTTCTCTGACCTTTTACATGAGCATTACATGCTTAATTTATCAGTTCTTAAATAATATATGAATCTATGGACTAAATGTTTGGTTTAACTTGTTGCTGATTAGCGGTTATTTTTCTTTGGATAAAGCTTTTATTCTAATCACAGAATTATAAAATTATATAAATCTATTCTAAGATTTCTCATGTGTAATCATGATCTGTTCATATAAAACTGAAAAAAGAATTATTTTAATTCTGTATTGAGGTGCATGAATTACTTTTTAATAATCACATCATAGATGAAAATGGAGAGAATAAAACAACCTATTACCAAAATAACTATCTTAATTGCAATTTATCAGAAATATAATTTCATACAATATATTAAACATAATGTGCAAGTTGCTCAGATAGATAATTCTGTGAATAATTTCTAATACTTGTATTCTATGTAAATAAAAAAGTTTATATTTATTTGTATTGAATATCAATCTGGTTTCCATCAATGCTTAGATTTGTCTACTTTTTATTTTGATTTAGTGAGATTATCCCATTTATAGATTGAACATGATGTTCTTATTTAAGTTGTCAGTTAGGACATTGAATTCCACAGGACATGACACAGAAATAATATTCAGTGATATATCTCAGAATAGGCAATGGTTGTTAAATTAGATTACTTCAAGAAAGGTATAAATGAATTCATAAATTATTATGTATGAGAGCTAAATGGACTATCCCAATTCAAAAATACACAATAACTGAAAATTAGGAAAAGAAAAATGTTACCAGAGTTATATACTCTATCAGTAAGCTCCTTAGATATATTATAGTTGGTCCACTGTTGGAAAGAGAGTATTAAATTTCTTAAAACCTAGAAAACAATTACAGTTTAGCTGACAATTTTACTTAAAAATAAGCACAACCAAAGAACTTATGATATTTGCTCTGGTACAAGTATTATATGTTAAATAACTTCATTCATCATTTTTATTTTTAAAACCTATAATTTTATTTACAGTTGCTATCATTATTTCTCTCTCTGTGTGTTTCTCTTTCAGCATATTCACACTAGATTTCTACACTAGACTTTTGCAAACAGCTTGGACTGTCTGGATTCAAGCATTGTCAGCACTTTTTGATCACAATTAAGGTCCAACTGTACCATAGCTTAATTAACAGAGAAGCTGTGGTTTGATTTGTGGTCCTGTTGCTCCATCCTTCTATTTAAGCAAGCAATTCTTTCTTGTTCCCGAGTTTCAGGCACTTTAAGGGAAACACTTAAAATTTCCTTGTCGCCTAGAAAAAGAAGTAAGGTGAAATTGACAAGAGCATTGTGGATTTCCCCATCAACTCTCCTGGAGACTAGCCAATATTTTCAGTGTTTTTAGCATTTCAGGTCGTGGTAAGCATGGATCATCCTCACAATGCTTCTTAGAATTTGAGAAATAAAGAATGCTAACATGGGGATGCTATTAGACACCAGTCTCTTCACACCTCAAAGAAGCAATATATTACAATTGATTTTCATTTGTATGAGAACTTAAGAACATTGAAGCAGATGGAGAACCACAGTGCCATATCTGAATTTCAGCTTCTAGGGTTCCAGATCTTTCCAAAGTGGGAGATCATCCTTTTTGCTCTATTCTTGCTTATTTATATATTAACTGTCATGGGAAATGTGATTATCATTGCAGTAGTCAAGTTGGAGCCATTTCTTCATTCTCCTATGTATGCTTTTCTCCAAAACCTTTCTTTCCTAGAGATTTGGTATACCAGTACAATTGTGCCTAAAATGCTCCGCAGCCTTCTCTCGGAGACCAACACAATCTCTTACGAAGGATGCATGACACAGCTCTACTTTTTTGTCTTCCTGGGGGCCACAGAATGCTTTCTTTTATCTGTGATGGCATATGACAGATTCCTAGCCATATGTGATCCATTGCATTACACAGTAACCATGAACAGTCAGTCCTGTACTCGATTAGCAATTGGGTCTTGGGTGATTGGTCTCATCACAGGACTGTTGCCATCTTTGCTGATCTCCAAATTATCTTTCTGCAGAGCCAACCAAATCAATCATTTCTTTTGTGATATCCCACCTTTGCTGAAGCTCTCTTGTTCTGATACTTCAATCACTGAGATTACTATATTTGTGCTCTCTTTGTTGGTCCTTTTTACATGTTTCTTGCTTACCTTGGTATCTTATGCCTTCATCATCATTACTATTCTAAAAATCCCCTCTGCTTCAGGAAGGAAAAAGGCCTATTCTACCTGTGGCTCCCACTTAGCTGTGGTGATAATATATTTTGGCACAATGATCTCGATGTATGTTCGCCCCAATATTAATTTTTCCTCAGAGCTGAATAAGGTGATTTCTATTTTCTACACAGTCATAACACCCCTTCTAAATCCTGTAATTTACAGTCTGAAGAACAATGATTTCAGAGGAGCTATTCAGAAATTAATTCAAAAGAGATATGCCCAGCATAGCTTGTAAAGCAATGAAATGTGGTTGTAGATTTTATTTCTACATTGGACTTGTTTCTAAAACATCAGCAAACTGAAATATCATAACCTTACTATATGTATAATTTCTAATGTACTGGCATATGTAGTTCCTATCACAACTGAGGTTTTGAAACCTCAGTTCCAAAGTCAAATCAGATATGTTCAAATACACAACTCTAACCTGAGTCTAATGCAATGATATTTATTATGTTCCTAACTATACATAAAATATTATTGTCTTGTCTTCTCCTCAGGTAGATAGTGGATTGTCTTTGATGTAATGTGGACATGTAGTCCTCAACTTATAACAGTTCATTTAATGATTGTTTGAAGTTATAATGAGTGACTTATGGCCCTTTTTTTACACTTAGGACTGTTGTAAAGTCTTGGCAACTGATATTTAAGATGGTTGCAGTGTCCAAGGGTCATGTGATCACCTTTTGTGACCTCCTTACAAGCAAAGTCAAGGGGGAAGCCAGATTCCCTTAACAACTATGTTACTAACTTAACAACTGCAATGATTCACTGAACAACTATGACAAGAAATGTCATAGTTGCAAAATTCACCTAACAACTATTTCATGTAGGAATAGAAATTTTGGACTCAATTTGGTTGTAAATTGAGGCCTATCTGTAATCTGCTTATCAAATCATGAATTCCATATTTCAATTTTTGGCTAACCTTTCTTATTACAAGATATAAAATAATCTTCAGGATTATATTTTCATGAAGTAAGTAAGTATATTGTATGGACTTTTAATTTTCTTTATTTAATTTAAACTTCTTAGAAAACTCTAGTCACAAGCTTTCAAAATAAGACTAATACGGACCCTTAAATTTTATGATTATATAATAATATTTCTATGGAGATATGCTGGGAATTAAACATTTTCAGGGTGCAAATATTGGTTATGTCAACCTACACTAGCTTAGCTTCAGGAAAAAAATGATTTAAAAATGGAAAAGAAATGCCATAATTGAACTCCAAAGTATATGATAATATAGAGAAAAGTAGGCAAGAAAAACCAAAAGCACACATATAGATTGGGTGAAACCAGGTTTAATGGCAGTAATTGTGAGAGGGATCTTGGAGTCTTAGTGGACAACCAGCTAAATATGAGCCAGCAGCAGCCAAAAAAGCCAATGCAATCCTAAATTGTAGGGATACAATCAAGATCAAGTGAGGTACTAATGCCACTCTGTAAAGCCTTAGTAAGATCACACCTAGAGTACTGCATCCAGTTTTGGTCACCACACCATAAAAAAGATGTTGAGATTCTAGAAAAAGTACAAAGAAGAGCAACCAGGATGATTAGGGGACTGGAGACTAAAACATATGAAGAACACTTACAGGAACTGGACTTGGCTAGTCTAGTGAACAGAAGGACCAGGGGATACATTATAGCAGTGTTCCAATATGTGAGGGGCTACAACAGAGAGAAAAGGGTCAGGCTTTTTTAAAAAAACACCTGTAGGCCAGACAATGGATAATGGATGGAAACTGAACAAGGAGAGATTTAATCTGGAAATAAGGAGAAATTTTCTGACAGTGAGAACAATCAACCAATGGAACAGCTTGCCTTCGGAAGTTGTATGAGCTTCATCACTTGAGACTTTCAAAAAAAGATTGGCCTACCATTTGTCAGAAATGATGTAGGGTCTCCTGCTTGGGCAGGGAGTTGGACTATATGATTTACAAGGTCCCTAACAACTCTGTTAATCTGTTTCTACTTCATTTTGGCGAAGTGTGTTCAAAGCCACACAGAAATTGTATTAAGAACTAAGGAAACAGATTTAAAGTTCCATTGTGTTTTTACTCCAATTCTACAGATGTCTTTCTGATTTAAATAAGTTTTTCATCATTTAAATTAGTACACATTTTTATAGTTAAAGTAATCCATAGGTCATGCATTTCATTTTTTATGTGTGCTTAATTATTTATGCAAGAATAATAACTTTTGTAGTATAGTAACTTAATAATTTATGCAAGAATAGAAAGTTTGGTTTTCTGCTATGTAAGGATGACTGAATTGCAGTGTGAATAAAATTCAGTGGTCAGGAAAAGCTTGAAGTCAGCAACTTTATTATGTTTATTAGAGCAGCAGCAACACAAAATCCTTTCAGAATGTTTTCTCTATTTTAATAATTGCCCAAGTATTTTCATAACTTCATCCAAAAATGAAATTAAATAAAATAAGAACATAAAGTCAATGTTCAAGCAATACATTTGTTTTGGTTTTCAGAAATGATGTCATTTTTTCGGTCACTGTTCCTCCTGAAACCTATTAAATGTATAGTACAGTAGAGACACTTAGTTCAATGTCTCATATCAGAAATGCATATGTAGAGTGGAATGCACTGGCACACAATTATAAAAAAACAAAAACAAACCCCAAACCCCAATATTTGTATTTTTTTAAAATGGTCCAAACTAAATATTTCTCTATTGCTACCACATTTTCTTAATATTAAGTATCAATCTTTATTAACAATTCTTTTAAATTCAAAATGATAGAATTCTACTACTTTTTCTTATCTAGCAGAATGAATATTTGGTTATCAGATTCTTTTAATTATATTGCAGAAAAACCAATCCTACCAATATCTTTTCCTGGATATTCATACTTAGTTTTCATCTAAGGTGCAGGTCTGAGGTACAGATTATACTGTAGCCAGGGAGAGCAACTCTTTCGTGAACTGCTAGTTTGACATGCAGAAAAGGTGGTTGCTTATTTTTTTATCCAGGTCTACACGAATATTTAACTTGAATTTGATTGGTGTTATATAGAAACACACAGCAAGGAAGATATTTCTTGCAACTTCCACAGGTTCTTCATAGAGAGAATGTGAATTATTTGAGTAGACTGCATATTTTATGAAAGATGCTGTAAAAACAATTTTCATTTGCTTATTTCTCAAACTGAAAATAAATGGGCTCAGCAAAGGAATCAATACTGTATTGATTAGAGAAACAATTTTACTTGTTGATGGATTGCTGCCTGAAGGCCTTACATGCATGAAAATGCAACTACTATACCCAAGACTAACCAAGTTAAGTGGGATGAACAAATAGAAAATGCCTTTTGTCTTTTGGAGGAAGATGGAATCTGGACAATAACTGTGATTATATAAACATAGGATATGATGGTGCTAATGAAAGAGCCTACTACAATCACTGAGGATGAGAAAAAACGTATTAACTCCACAAGATTAGTGTCAGTACAGGCCAGTTTCATCAAGGCCAAGCTATCACAGAAAAAGTGATCAATCTGATTTCTGTCACAGAAAGACAGGTTTGTAACTAGGATGGTGGAGAGAATTGTTCCCCAAAAAACTGCTGCATAACAGCCAATAACTAGTCATAGCCAGAACTCAAGTCTCCTGATCATTGGGTATTGCAAAGTAGTACAAATGGCCTCATAACAATCACATGACATAATTGCTAAAAGGACAAAATCACTGCTTCCCGGGAAGAAGAAAAAATAGCACTGGGAAAGACAACTTGGGTATGATATAGATTTGTTGCCCAGCAAAAGACTCACCAGTACCTTGAGAATAATGGGGGTTGTGATTAGAATTTCTAAACAAAAAAGATTACCTAAGGAAAGTACATGGGAATGTGTAGGTGGGGATCATGAATAACTAGGATGATAATCATGATATTTTCAGCTAAAGTAATCATATATGATGCAAGAAGAATGAATCCAATGAGATGTTCAAGATGATGTAATTCAGGAAAATATAGTTGTTTAAAACTGGCAATGAGAGTATAATTATCCATCATGATTTGGAAATTCCTGGGGGAAATAATAGAAATATGATTAAATTAGTACTATGTCAAAAAGTAAAGAAGATAGAGAAAAGCCAGTCAAGATGATAGCACAAATTATCTTTTTGTTGTCATATTAAAATATTGTGGACAGTAATGCCATTATATTTTAGCTATTTATTTTCATAAAGAATAATATTAAACATTTGGAAGAAGAAGAAAAATGTGTAAATACATAGAAAATATGTTAAGTTAAAAGAAGTGGATGAATGGGTGATAAAAGGCTTAGAATTTATGAGCAATTGAGTTAAGTAAATCACAGTTAAATCCCATCAAAATCTATGGTCTTAAATTGTTTGCTACTGTTGACTCTGTAAAATTAACTTAAAGACATAAGAATCAGTAAAATAGCATAATGGCTTAGTTAGAAATCAAACCAATATAATTTAAAGTTTTTATTCATCCACCCCCAAACAAACAAACAAATAAACAAAAGCACACCATGGAGTTAAAACATATTAGTCTCTGAAGTGTCATCCAAACAATCATCTACTAATAAGATGGAAATGTATGACTTAGAATCAAAGTAACGAATATCATCCTTGAACAGTTGGATTCAACTTCATTTTTTTCTTCGGATTCTCTATTTTTTTTCATTTTGGCCCATCTATATTTGGAAGTATAACTCCTGGAATAATGGTCAAAAATCCAGTATGTCTAAAAAACCATTGTAAATTCCTTCAAGTAATTTCAGGTCTTTAAATATTCATTTTATTTATGTATTTATTTATTTTGATTTCTCAATTGCTTACAAGATAATAAGTATAAGTATATACATAGTTATGAATACATGAAATGGGTACATATAAGAAAAGTAAAAGAATCAATAGGACAGGGACGGTAGGCACGTTGGTGCACTTATGCACACCCCTACAGACCTCTTAGGAAAGGGGTGAGGTCAATAGTAGACAGGCTAAGGTTAAAGTTTTTGGGGTTTGGGGAAGAAACCACAGAGTCAGGTAGAGTATTCCAGATATTGACCACTCTGTTGCTGAAGTCATATTTCCTGCAATCAAGTTTGGTGCGGTTAACCTTGAGTTTGTATCTATTGTGCGCTCTTGTGTTGTTATGGCTGAAGCTGAAGTATTCATTGACAGGTAAGTCATTGCAATGTATGGTTTTATATACCATACTTATATCAGACCGAAGATGGCATAATTCAAGGTTTTCTAGGTCTAGAATTTCAAATCTGGTGGCACAAGGTATTCTACAATGAGTAGAGGAGTGGAAAACTCTTCTTGTGAAATATTTCTGGACTTTCTCAACTGTGCTAATATCAGATATGTAATGTGGGTTCCAGACTGATGAGCTGTATTTGAGTATTGGTCTAGCAAATGTTTTGTATGCTCTAGTTAGTAGTGTAATATTACCAGAGAAAAAGCAATGTAGGATTAGGTAAACAACTCTTAACGCCTTTTTGGCTATGTAGTTACAGTGGGATCTAGCACTTAGATCATTAGAGATGAGTATTCCAAGGTCCTTTACAGAGGGCCTTGGAATACTGTTGATTGAATCATCAACAAGGTCTTGACTATTCAGCTTGTATTTTATTTTCTGATATTTTTTTTTGCCAATATGTAAGACAGAGCATTTATTTGTTGAGATTTGAAGTTGCCATTTGTTTGACCATTCTGAAACATAGTCAAGATCTTTTTGAAGGGTAGCAGTATTGTCTGTGGTGTTGAATAGCTTTACATCATCAGCAAAGAGAACGCAGTTGCTCTTAATATGGTCACAGAGGTCATTTATGTAGAGTATGAAGAGAGTTGGTCCTAGAACACTGCCTTGGGGGACACCACTATTGACAGGTACAGAATTTGATAGGACACTCCCAAATTTGACCATTTGTTGTCTGTTTGACAGGAATGCTTCTATCCAGTTATGCAGTTGTCCAGAGATATCATAAGATTTTAGTTTTAGGAGTAATTTGTCGTGTACCACTGAATCAAAGGCTTTACAGAAGTCTATGTAGATTGTATCTATTGTTTTGCCCTAATCGAGTTGTGTAGTCCATATGTTTTTGCAGTGTAAGAGTTGCAGATTACAGGACAATTTTAATTACAGGACAAGTTGTTTATTAGAGAGTAGATTGTTTATCTCTAAGTGGAGGATAATGGATTGGTTAATAATTGGTTCCATGACTTTACAGGTGATACAGCATAAGGATATTGGTCTGTAATTTTCAACTAGACTGAGGTTTCCCTTTTTGAAGATGGGGATGACCGTGGCTTGTGACTATAGGTTAGGCAAGGAGCTAGTCCAGAAAGATTTTTCAAAGATTATGCTTAGAGGTTAGGCTATGGCAGTGGATAGCCTTTTTAAGAAGTGGGCAAATATTCCGTCCGGGCCAATAGATAGGAGATGGTTTTAGATTGTGTAGTGCTTTTCCAACATTGTCTTCTGTAAAATCAATATGTATTAGATCATTGTAATTTTCTGTGGTTCAGCTAGGAAATACTTGGCATGATCCATTGCTGTTTACAAATACTGAGCCAACGAATGTGTTAAAGATGTTGGCTTTAATGGTGTCGTCATTGCAGTCTTTACCAGTAGGTCCTATCAGGAGTGGGATGGACCTTGAGTCTTTTAGTTTGTTGTTTACAAAATTGTAAAAAGTGCAAGTAGAATTGGTGTGTAGATGGTTTTCCTCTTGTTTAATGTGATAATTGGTGCATTCAGTCTTTATCTGGTGGCATAAATTTTTGTATTGGCTTTTGAAGTTGGCAACGTGACCAGATTTGTTTTTCCTCCAGAGTGATCTCTTTTTGGATTGAAGTTTCCTTATTGTTATGGATAATCTGGTGTTTTTTTTGGTGGGGGGGGGGTGAGTTGTTGTTGGTACATATAGTTTGATGACTCTTTTGACTTCAAGTAAAATATGTGGTAATGGTCTTCAACAGTATTGCATATAATATTCCTGTTCCACTACAAAGAAACCAAATCAAACTGTCCAATCTAGTCATCTTTTCCTATTGATGTTTAGAGAATCTCCACAGTGAAGTGAACATTCTATTCTGTGCACTTTGTTGAAAAACAGAGGGAGATACCATATATTGTAGGAAAATAACTTTTATTAGATAAGTAGATTTGTTCTACAACAAGTCAATGTAACATTTATATTTTAAAGCTCAAATGAAAATTATCAAAGACTTTTTGAATTCCTTAAAAGGAAATGTATTACTCACAAGCATCAATCTTTCAGTTTCTTAGCACTCCTTTTACTATGAAAGCACATTTTCAAGTAATAATCATATTCATATAAGATTGAAGAATACTATGGAATCTGCATTTATTTACAAATTGGACACATATCTTCATTAAGTTATATCAAATGCTTTATTCAGCTATCTTGAATGCTTCAGGATAACCCTAAAAATGATAGTTGTGTGATCAATACATTCAGAGTAGATTTTATTTATGATTTACAACCTAATGTTGCTGTCTTGTTACTTTTTCTTCCATGTGAAGTGAAACATTCTTCTGTTTATATTACCCTGATGAATCATCTATTAAAATGGTTCTTTTAGAACAATTCTTTTGAGGATACAATATAATGTGCTTTTTCAGTGTTGTTAAAATCTAAAAATCAATGAGTGTGGCATTCTATATGCTTCTAAACTGTAATCCTTTCTGTTGTATTAATATTAATTTACCTAATAATGTTTATTATTTTTATTACATAACTTCTTCCCACAAATTCTAAAAAGGAGTAGCACATAATCTATATGCAATCTGTAAATTATAGGAGAATGTAGATGATTTTAGCTAATCTTGAAAAATAGATCAGACCTGTTTAATATTAGATGGATCTATAGCTATGTCACTTAACTCTATCATCAGCAGATCTGTACCATCTTTAACTCCTAATTCTAATACTGCACTAAAGTATAATAGTGCCATATTGAATCAACATTAAATAGCCAAAATTGAAATCAAAATTATTAATACCTTAAAAAGTGAATAAAGAAGTTTCTGGCAGGTTTCTTGGAGATAGGAAAGTCAACTATAAGAAAAATAAATAAATTGATAAATAAATATATATTATAATTTTTTATTATTATATTTGAATACTTCCAATATGTACCAACTTGACATACATTCCAGTTAATGTACATCAGATTATATCTACTTTCCTAGTGTTTCCATTTAAGAAAAAAATGCATCCAAACCAATATTGTTGTAAGTAATGTTTCCATAAATACCAGCTTTTAAACCACTCCTTATAGAACCTATAATTCCTAGGAGATTCAGAAAGTATTTCCTTCAGAAATGCTTTACTTTTGTTTTATCTTTTTACTTATTTATTTATTTTTATGTGCTATGTAATAGTAGGAATATTCAGTTATCTAAAATTTCAGATTTTAGATTAAATCGGTGACAAACTTGATTAATTGATAGATTTTGTTGCATGTACCATTAACATCTTAACATGTGTATGATTCTTATAAACACAAAACCAGGTAATTTAGTTACTCGTGTGTGTGTGTGTGTGTGTGTGTGTGTGTGTGT